TTCAATACTTAATTAAGTTACGTATATGTATGTATGTAATATACCTTTACTGTATGGGAACTACGTTCTATGTTTATTATTTTTATGTAACTGCATTACGTTAAAATGAGCAAAAGTAACAAATAAGTTGTTTACTAAAATTTGCGTCGAGTAACTTTAAAATCAAGTTACTTAGACGCCGTTAGGCATTTACCGCATGGGAACAGCGTCGGTTCCCAGGTGAATTTTCTTTCCGCGAACATAATGTTTATCTCACAACTTTTATCAAAAGCAATCTTAAACGTATGAAACACCCAGTTAAAACGCTGACATGTTTACGGTTAGTTTTTGATTTCTACACCAATTAATGATAGTTGAAAATTTCCCGCCGGTTTCCCAGCTACATTTAACCATTCGTTAGTGTTTTTGGTGCGATAACTTCAAGAAATGCATTTACGAACTACGTAACTTAAGACATTGGAGTTAACCTAAACTTACCACTAATTAATCATTAGGTAAGGATAAAATAAATGCGAACTTCGGAAACCCAGTATCATTCGTTTAATTTGTTAACTGAATTAGTAGAATTTATTTACCTAGCCCCTAGATAAAGTGATTCGAATCGATGAAATATGTCAAGATGTAGGTATAAGAATCAACACGTAAAAAGTATCATGGCTTATCGAATGTTACTTTGTCTAATAGGCTTGTTCGATTATAATTCGTGGAAGTTTAAAATTGACCGGTAGCAGGGAAAAGTGTAGCTTTAGTTGTTTTCAGTGCCTAGATGTAGGCTTTAATATTTATTTTAGTACGCAAAAGTATTTTTTTATATTCAAAAAACAATATCTGCGGTCAGCTGTGTCAGCGTGTGATATGCAGAATGTGGCGCACTGCGGTAAACTCCGAGCAAGCGGAAATTTCATCTTAAAGTAGGTTTCCACTGCCCAAACACTAATACAAAAAAAACGTTATCATATTTATCAATGAATGAGAGGAACAGAAAATCGTTTATGCTTATGTTTAGTTGACAAGATAAACAAAGTTCTTTCACAGACGAGCAAAGGACAGAGCACGAACGATAAAGTAATCGCTCGATTATATTCAGGCGGTTAGTTTTTTGGTGTGACGAACTCGTTTACTGTTCGTTGACTGCTCATGTTTTGCAAGATGACCGAAGTTCAGTCGTTTTATAGTTTGTTTATTTTTAACATTAAGCGCCAATAGCCTAATGGTTTGGGGACTACCGATTACATTTTAGTACAACATAGTGATCCAATTTTATATGCAGAAGATGGACAAGGTCTTAGCAAAGTCAGATAAACTTATGGTCCGTCCATACATATGCTGAATAACCAATATTTTCGTTGTTTTCTTGTTTTAGAATAAGCTACCTAATGTTAAATTGTCCTATGGTAGTCATTTTCATTTCTTAATGCTTTAAAAGTTATGGAAGAAAAAACAGACGCGGTTAAAAAATACTCTTCAACATTAGTCCGACATCAAAGTGCATATGTTCTTAGAATAGTGATATTAATATTGGAAGCCATACAACAGTTACATAGTTGAGTATAGCACGATCGCAAAAAGCGCGATTGCGCGGAAGAAATCGCGTAGAGTCAAGGCGAGCCGTTATTCATCACAGCCCTGTAATAAGGCATCGGAGGCACTGCTTTTAACTTTTTGCCGAGTCATCCGACCCATTGAAGCGGCAATCACCTTCATATCGTAAAAACTAAACAAAAAAAAATGCGAGGTCTCGATTATCTTTTACTTTAGCTATAATTAAACTACAATGCATTTAATATTGAATCAAATTTAGCGAAGTACATAGACTTTATAACCTTCTAAGTAACCTTTAAGTTTGTTACAGATAGTGTTGACTATTGTTTTAAAGTGCCATAATGTAATGTTCCTTACAGTGAATATTCTTTTATTTATATCTTATTTTTTGCCGTATTGTTAAATCATATTCTCAATATTTATCCTCACAGCATTCACGTTTTCGTTTCGCATATGAGTTTAATGCAAATTAAACGCTATAAAATTCGTAATATTGATTTAAATACTGCTTTTCAAAGCAACTACCAGTTCTCATAACGGTAAAATATGAGGCCAAAGTACACTGTAATTTACAAAATTCAAAGACTTCGTTTTTGAAAAATCTAATAACCTTAATTAAGAATAAAATATTTTTAAAAAAGGTTTACATATATCAGGGCAAAATGTGGTGAAGTGTAGTGTTTGTGGTCAAAAGTCAAGACAAGGTTTTTGTGTCATATCAATTGTGAAAAAAACTATTATTTAAGAGAAGTTAAGTTACAATTGATTGAGTATCGTTACATGGAAAGAGGACACTAATAAATTACCAAAAGTTAACTATAAATGTCACTGTTAAAAAGGCTACAAACGCTATTCTTCTTTTTTTAAAAAAAAACGATGGTAATAAAAAAACGACATACAATAATTAGACGTGGTTATCGTAATGAAGTAATTTAATTAAACTGGCGATAAAAGTGATTACTTCATTATTCATTAATCGATAAATATTTAGGACTAGCTGTTCCCGTGCGGCTCCACACGCGTGAAATTATGAACATTTTATTTTATTGTTCACATTTGTCAAATTATCAATAGCAAATGTCAAACTGACATGACATGGCATAGCATGGCAACCTTGCTTACTTGATGTTGGCAGCAACTTATGGTCTCTTTCCTACATTAGATTTTTTAGCCAAAATATTTAGCCCTTAAGTTTAATGGCGTGAAAATATGTAGCCTAAAGCGTGAAATAAGTATAGGGCGTTTCATTAAAAAAAGAATTATTCAAAAATATGCTGACATCTTTGGCAACAAATAAGTGTGTGTTTACGCTTTATTAAAATAGTATAGATTACGGTTTTCACGTAATAAAATAGTTACATTTATTCCTTACTTACAATTTAAAAAATATAATCGAGTTAGTTCAATCGTTTTGCGATGTTTTAATTGAATACATTTGTTTGAAAAAACACAATTGTTATAACGAAAATACAATAGTGAAAATAATAATGATTAATCCTTGGTAAACGCAAATAATCTCAAATCTAGAACATCGCGAAAATGCAAAGAATTTTCGCTATAGTCTACATACATATTTTAACGTTCAAATATCACTGTTTCTGAAATTATGCCAAGTGTCCGAAAACGTCGACTGATATACGTTTCCGAACATAAATATTTACTCACAGAAGACGAAATTTCAATTATTGAGGAAGTAATTATAACGTGCAATTTATTTCTATCGGAGAATTCTCAAAATATTCGATTTATATTTTTACTTTGACTTCGAAGTTTCATATCATTTATCAACGCTTATAAATTACAAATAGCAAATTTTTTAGAAGATAACATACGACCCGTCTAAAATCAAATATTTAAGAATAAATCATACTAAAACTATAAATGTGAAAGTTTAGATGGATGGTTGGACGTTTGTTAGAGTTTCTTGTCTAAAAGGCTGAACGGATTTCAATGAAATTTGGTATAGATGTAAATAGTCTGAAGGAACACATGGGCTATTCACTATTGTTTTTTTTTTAATTCCACGCGGACGGAATCGCGGGCGAAAGCTAGTTGTAAATAATATAAGAATTAGAAATTTATTTAAAAGATTAATTTATCCGACTGATTGCATTCCTTTTTATAAATTTGAAAAAAACGAATTAGGAACCGTCACTCTTATTTAAATTGTTCAATCCATTCAGCATTAATGAAAACACATTAATCCATTTCATTCCATTCCATTCATTAATTTGCCGGGATAGAATAAAATAAAATTTCGAGTCAAGTCGAGATGCAATATGCAAATAGGAAACTGTACTAGTACAGTCGTATTCAACATAACTGCATATACCAAAGTCAAAACCACAAAATTGGTATGCAAGCCCCGACCTTTGGTTGGCGGTGTAACGGTACCAATGAGCAGCGAAATGAAGACAATTGCGACCAACATCACAATAGCCATTCAAATCATACAATAAAAAGACCTCACGATATATCAAAATGCGAGGTAATTTTACAAATTGCCTAATGGTTAAATTGATTGTACAATACGGATCATTGTAGAGCAATCTTTAAATGTTATTATTTAACTAGCTTTCACCCGTGACTCCGTCCGCGTGGTATTAAAAAAACAAAACCAAGTGGCCAGTGTGTTCTTCCAGACTATCCTATGTATGCCAAACTTCATTGAGATACGTCCAGCAGTTTAGGCAACAAACTCTAACAAACATCTATCCATCCATCCATCCTACTAAACTTTCACATTTATAATATTAGTATGATACAGAAAATAGTAATGAATTTATTGTAAAGATATTCTAAGTAGAGAGGAGTTAGTATTAGTTTATGGTCTTCTGTCAAATTTTAAGGGTAGTTTACAAAGTACAATGTTGTAAAGGGAAGTCATTGTCAAAATTTAAAAGAAATGTTCATAAAATTGATTGTTTTTTTATTTTATTTTAGCACAAACTTAGCTCAGTTAGTAGGTTAGTAATGTTAGAAAATAATTTGCACAGTATACAATCACGGCATCATTAAATTATTTTTTTAAGAAGACTTTCTTTCTTTCTTTTATCAACACTAAAATAATACCTCTGTTCTTCTTATAATTTTGAGTTTCGGTAGTTTGCAAATTTATTAAGAATATATCTTTCTTCGTCGAATAATCGCTACTTTTTCAAACAAATGCTAATTCAAAGTTTAATGTGAGTTTTTTTGCGTACTATATCAATTCAAAACAAAAATGTAAAGTTTTGTTCTCTTTATCACTTTCGTATTATTCATAAAGATACCGAGTTCTTACGCTGTGCGAATTACAAACAAGTGCCAATTCAAAATCTACACATCAAAAGCTCGTCCGTTGATCGAACGGTTTGAAAATAAAATGTTAAATTGTGTGCAAAGTCGTCACCAGACCTTTGTTAGTAGGAAGCACAGGTGCGTTAGCGTTAGGCCTACTATACTCCAATCACATTTACCTGTGTCCTATAAGTGGGTGTAGTTAGCGTGTACGCGGGGGCGTATAGTGTTCCGTTTATTTTATAGAAGTCGCTCTGTAAAAGAAGAAATTTTGAAATTTAATAGACTCAAGAATGTATCGATTTGACGATCAGAATCCCAGCCAAGGCACGACAATCTAAAAATTAAAACATACAAATCCGCCATAATGACTTGTAATTTATATTCTGCAAGGCTAGAAAAAATAATAGGATTAGGGGTCATTTTTTTTGTTTACATTTGAATACACTTTCTAGGAACATGAGAATTAAGATTGTTTCACCGGACAAAATTATGTTTCGTTTTCCAGATATACTTTAGTGCTTTTATTTTGTTATTATTAACCAACCATTTAACTTTCTAAACATATATCTTTATAAATCATAAACCTACCAAATTCTTTAAAAAACTCGCAGCAATAAATACTTCGTACTTTGTTTAACGAAAGTAAATATTTTATATCAAACGCTTTGTTCGTGCTAAAATCACATTCGCCGTTTTTTAGACATGTTCAATAATTCTCACCTCGAATAAACGCTATAAAACCACACGCGATTTTTTATTTACGATTTTAAGATTCACACAGTTTATCTAATGGATTGTTCGGTGATTGTTTTATCTAACAAAAAGGTGCTAATTGCTAAAAACAATGTTATAACGTAAAGCAACATGTATAATGACAAAAAGGCGATTTTTCAAAAGAATTTATGATTTCTGTTATTACCCTACGTATTAGTTACTAGAAAAAACTTACTATATTCTCTCTTACCTCTTGGTAGAAGACGCGTTTGGAGTTATATGTGAAGTTGTATTGTTGGTCAAACACCATCAGTAGTATTGTGAAAGGCAGAAGAAATGCTGCCGCGGCGAGAAACGCAACGCATCTACCTAACCTCAACATACTCATGTTTCTTCTACCCATTTTATTTTAATAACACCATCACTTTACACACGTCACTTCAATTATTTCACAGTAGTAACAGCGGACTGTCTTGACACCTGCAACAAAATAAATGCAAAAGTTAATTATGTTTTAATAGAATAACATAATTTAACACTTCCTCTGACATATAACAGTATAAACCCATAGTTGTTGCACACAATCAATATAAAAGATATAATTATATAAGCCGAATTCCCAAAAGAAGGAGGTTATCAATTCGTCTGTATTTTTTAATAGCTGTTGCTCGCGACTTCGCATGCGTCAAATTAGTAAAAGTATAGCAATTACAAAGCTACATTAAGATGTTAACATGCGTTTAGTCCTACCAAATCGTAAATTGTCTGAAAACAATCGAACGTGTAAAATATGTGATGGATATCGGATTTTATTCCCTTATAAGACGTTTAAGCTATCTGAGCCTCTATCAGCCAGTAGTGGGACAGGTCCTTGATATTGTATTCTATGACATTACATCTCGAAGTAAGACAACAATGTATCCTGCGCAGTTGACATGCTAATAATAGTCGGAAAGAGGAAATTGTCGAATACGCAGGAGGAAGTCATATTAATATTATTTAATTACGTCACCTATTTATAAACAGAGTCATCTGAAATCTCAGACAGAATACAAAATATGGTTACGATTCAGTGGTGCCTAGTGATGTTCTGTAGTTCGATTACTAACAAACGCAAATTGTTAAGAATAATTGTATTCTTATTCACTTGTTTAAATTAAAGTTTGAAGTAATATATGCACACCTGAAACTAAACTATCGCACAACTGTTATGTCTCTCTTTAATTCCTATGAGCTTATATGGAGGTGCGCACACTACTCGATTTTTAGTTGTGCATCCAAACAGTAGAATTGGCGAAACAATCGACTATTATGCAATAGTTTAGTCAAAGGTGTGTGCCCGCTCCTTCTCTCTATAATCTGATTTGAACAGCTCGATTCTTCTTTAATTTTCTTGACTTTGAGTCCGTTAAAACATCAGCACAAAAGATTTACATTTAATAAACAAAATTGCAAACAGGAAAGGAAGTGAGTACCGAAAATAACCCGTATTTTAAAATTTAACCGCTACGTTCTATAGTGAGCTTAAATGTTTAATTCGAAAGCGCTGCTCGTATCCGAGGAAATTGGTTTGCGGAATTGAGCCGGTCCAGTCATCCTACCGGCAACCTCCTCATTCTTTCAAACTCGTTTTTGATTGTGATTTATTCGAAACAATAATGTTTAAGCCTCAATAATAACCTTAACATTGTAATAAACATGTTAATCAAACATTCTTATTAATAGTTTTATAAGATCTATTATTAATAAACAAATCTTTTATCAATTGTTTCAATGTACCTTTATCCACTTTCTGTTTGTTTGAATTTGGCTCCGAAACTATTGTACCGATTCCAAATATACTTTCGCAATTATAAATTAATTAATAAAATGGGCTATATTTTACATTAATAGAAAAGGAATATAAAATAAAAGATTTTATCCCATCTATACTATTATAATAAAGCGTAAACACACAATTGTTGCCTAAGATGTCAGCAATTACAGCATATTTTTGAATAATTCTTTTTTTAATACAAAGCCCTACACTTACTTCACGCTTTAGGCTATATATTTTCACGCCATTAAACTTAGGGGTTAAATATTTTGGATAAAAACCCTAATGTGGGAAAGAGACCATAAGTTGCTACCAACATCAAGGAAGCAAGGTTGTCATTTTGACATTTGCAATTGAAAATTTAACACATGTAAACAATAAAATAAAATTTTTATGCGGAAGAAGTCGCACGGGAACAGCTAGTTTAATATAATTTCAATAATTCACAATTTCTTAATTTTCACAAGCTCACATAACATACACGTAATCCAATCTATCTTTACTGTATTATAAAGAGAAAGACTTTGTTTGATTGTAATAAATAGGCTCAAAAACTACTGGGCCGATTTTAAAAATTCTTAAAAGACACGCAGACGAAGTCGCGGGCAAAAGCTATTCTACAATAAAACACAAAAAGTAGTTACTAATATAATATGAAATGCCTATTCAAGTTTTGCAGTCTGATTTAATATGACATTGTCGGACAGGGTTTAAATTCCATACTAAGCAAAATTCGAAACGTCGAGGGCAGTTTCCTATTACTAACAAGGCGATTGCCGCAGTTCGAGTTTCGTGTGACATTTGATTCCAGTACTTAGTCAAGTCATCCAAACTAATATTATTAAAAAAAGAGATTTGTATTTTTGTATGTATAGATATAACACAAAAACTGGGTCGATTTCAAAATATATTTCACCATTAAAATGCTACGTTGTCAGTAAGATAGGCTATTCCTTTGTTATTTTTTTTAATTTCACGTAAAGTTACGAGCAAAAGCTAGTATATAAATTCAAATATAGGTACTGAAAAATAAACTTGATAAATTTGGGCTCGAATTTTGTTTAAAGTAGCCATAATATCATGAGTCAATTCTTCTAGAACTATCAGGATCATGTCATAATAGCAAAGAAAAGGCATTTTATTCTTCTAAGTCCTCTTTAATTCTTTTTAGAAGAATTAAAATAAATAAATGTTTTATTTGTTAAGTTACGATTCATTTGTGTTTTTCCAAAATGATTATGTTTTGTAAACGTTATGTAATAGGAAATGGTAAATGTTTGAGGAAAAAAATTGGAGCGTGCGCGACATTTTAACATCAAACAAACAGAACAGCGTGACATGTGCTATGTTATTAGTAGTCGTGTCGCATTGTTTTACAAAACAATTTCTCTGATAGTAAACTATCAATCTATCAATTAGTATTCAAACCTGCTGATTACGGCGTAAGCCTGCTACAGACGCTCAGTTCTGGCAAATTTAACTTTCAGATAAAATGTTCAGTTAATATTTGTCAACACACAGTCGAACTGTTGAGTAAAAACTATCTGTTAGGACTATATATATATATATATAATATCTCTCACTCTAACCGTGATTGTAAAATATCCGTATAGTTAAATTAGGCCATTTGACCCGGTGAGCTGCTTTCGAGGTAGTCCTGTCAGAAAAGTTGTAAAAGCTACGTGAAAATAGAAAATGATATATAAAAAAAAAACCAGCTACATTACAACAAAGATCTTGTTACACTTTTTTGCTAAGATTTAGTTTTTCTTACGCCCGAGGGTTCATATGTTCTTGTCAATACGTTGTCAATAAACGTAATTATTATTAATTAACGATCTTTGTTATAATTTGTTAGAAACAATAGACAACATTATGACCGAAATAAAAATTATTTATTACCGCAAATACGGGTTGTCCCTCAAATATGTTACAAGTATGTCAACTATAAATACACTATGATTCAATATACAAATATTCTAAACTCGACCTTGATTTTATAATAGATCGTTACGTACAAAGTAACGCATCCATCACTGACTGTTTTCTTCTATTATAGTTTAGTTGCCACGTGCTTAATTGTGATAAGTGGACGTGACTATAGTTCTGGACGAAAGCCAATCTGACGCATCAGTGGCCCAACTAAATTGTTCACACATTTAAAACATCACAATTACTTCATCAAATAACCACAATAAATTAACGAAAAAGATAGAAATTTAATAAGTATCTCGTCTTTTTCAAGAAATCATTTTTAAAGCAAAGAAAATAATGTTATGAATGTAATAGTTAAATATTCACTAGTGGTCGATTTGACGTTTAAATATTGGTTACATATCTTTTGGTTAATTAAATATAGCGCATAAAGTACTTGTTTGCAACTTTAATAACATTGTTAAATACTGGCTGTGCCCGTGAGTAAATGTTATTGTATGCATTTGTCAAATTATTAATTGCAAATGTCAAAATGACATGAAATGATGATAAACCATGGCAATCTTTTTTCCTTGATGTTGGTAGCAACTTATGGTCTCTTTCCCACATAAAGGTGTTTTTCCAATTTATTCATCCCCTAAATTTAATAGCAAGAAAATACATAGCCTAAAGCATGTCGTAAGTGTGAGACTTTTTATTAAATAAAGAATTATTTAAAAATATGCCGTGATTTCTGACATCTTACGCCTCAAAGTAGTGTGTGTTTACGCGTAATTATATTAGTATAGTATATTGATACGTTCGTGCAATTTAATTAGAAATGGGTTAAAACTGTTCCATATACGAAAATGATGAATATTTCTACATATACCTGGAAACATAGTTCATATTAGTTGAATATAAAACATGTTATTATAGTTACACGACCGTGGCACACATTCTAAAAGCGACGCTATTAACTAATAACTTATGCATTAGCAAATTAATATTAATTCATTTATTACTAACAAGTTTGGAAAAGTTATAAAAGGCAAACTGTACAAAGGAAGAACTTAAGTATCAGTACTATGTTTTAATATTTAACGTAAAAATATAAAAAAACACACGTTTTAATTTAACAAGTTTTTGTTAATAGTAATGGACTTAATAGTTCTGAGAAGTTTATTTAATAGTGAAAATAAACTATGAAATTATTAATTTTAAACCATCATCGAGTAAGAAATGTTCATAAAATCTTTGTTCTCTCACACTGGTTACTACTATGGGTATGGTATATTCCCATACCTTTGTTTTGATCAAGTATACTTAATTACGCAGTGCAGTTCACACGGCTGTAAATAAGATTAACACAAAGTGTGTGTATTTGTAAAGAAATATGAAAATTCAATTATTATGATTTTCATTGCTAGCTTTCGCCCTCGACTCTGTCCGCGTGGATTTAAAGAAGTAAGTATCCTATGTGTTATTCCAAACTATCCTCTACATTTTTGCCAAATTTCATTAAGGTCTGTTCAGCTGTTTAGGCTACAAAATCTAACAAACATCCATCTCGTAATGTTTTGCATTTATAATATTAGTACAAATTTAATTAAAACAAAGTATGTTTTTTTTTATAAACTAAGGCACAATATTATAAATAAATTACCATTCTGATGGTGCAAGAATTTTTAAAATCGGCTCAGTAGTTTTTGAGTTATTTCAATACATACAAAAATACAAAGCTTTCCTCTTTATAATATTAGTACGAGTATATAGATATTATGTATAGTATATACATATAGATACGGGTTTCTTACCACGATTGGATTGTTTTAGCTCCCGATATTTCGGCACAGTTGCATGCGCCATGTTCACGGGCTGACAGAAGTGATGGGGTAGTGTGAAATATTTTTTGTTTTTTTTTTTCACCCAAGAAACCCGTATCTTACGAACATTATATTTGCAAAAACAACGACAGTTTAAAGTTATATATCAAAATATTGTACTTTGTCTATAAGTATAGCTTAGTACTGTTTAACTCGTTGACATATTTCGGCTATGTTAATCTATCAATCTCGTTTATCTCAAGATAATGTCATAAGAGTGTATCACCTTTGGAAAATGATTGCTTTAATGTTATCCCCATAAAGTTGAAAATAACACTATTTTAGTTTTCGGTCTTTGAGAAATAAATGTTGGCAATAATCCAGATAAAACTTAAACATTATTCTTCAACTATAATCATTAATGTTATGAAATGTTACCAATACATTAAAAATACTTTTACATCAATAGACAACAAACACACGATAAAGAATTTAAAGAAAGAATTGGTTAATTTATCAAGTCGCAGAAGAAATCTTTTCTTTTAGAAAAATTTCTTTTCTACAAAAGCTTCATTTTCCAATTTTAAAAGTTTACTTATATAAATCGTTTGTACACAACAAACAGCGTAGAACGTTATCTACAATCGTATTCAATATCCGTTGAACTTTCGCCCTTTGAATTGAAAGGGAATTGATAAAAAAATGGGGTAGAACTGGACTTCACGGAACTGATAAGACGTCAGTCGAACAGACAATTTAACGCCTGTATTACACAAAAAAATAGACAACAGGAAGCGAACAGGAAGCGAATTTTATTTGGAACCGTCATATACTTTTTTTCAAATCCTTAACAACCATAAGAAATCTAAAGAAAACATAAATATGAAGAAAAAGATTCTGTAATCCACCGAAAAATTCTGGTCTGAATGTAACAAAAAATTCATCTTTTTTGTTTGATTTTTATCATTTTATCAGAAAAGGACCATCTTATAACGAAGTAGGAAATGTCAGAAGTCAAAAGCGTTGGAACTACATAAGAAGGCACCGGGCGGCCTTGGTCAAATGTTGTGATTCATAACTGAATATTACGGACTATAATTATCTAAACGTATATAAAAAGCGCAAACACTAAAAAAAGGCGTTTTTATAAGGTTTCAATCACTTTTCCTAGATATAACTTAATAAATAAGGATGTATGCATGTATGCTTGATACTACGTATCTCTAAAATGGCTTAGTGCATTTAAAAAAAAATGGCACAGATGTAGAACATAGTGTCCAAGAAAACGTAGGTTACTAAGGGCCTGTCCCACTGGCTGATAGAGGCTCAGATAGCTTTAAAATCACGTCACTGTCTGATAAGGTAACAAATTTCGATATTTCCATCACATATTTTACATGTTGGATTGTTATCAGACAATTTACAATTTGGTGAGACAGGCCCTAAGTCTTTTTTAATTCCGCGAGGACGTAATCGCAGGAAAAGTCTTGTAAAATATAGCTTTTCTCGCTAAAATTATTACGAGTTTACGCAAGACCTTATTTATTTTCATTTTTTGGACCTTCGCTATCATCAATATTATAAACTTCTGTAATGGAATTTGAACGTTATGTTTCAGTAGAAGTAGGTTTAAAATACACTAATATTGTGGCTGGTGCGGGCGTCACGTGCCTTGGTAGTCTGATTGAAGAGTCTAGCTTATCCGGTACAACTGGTGACATACAAAATTGGCGTGTCAGAGCGGACTTCGTAAATTATTCGTGTGTAAATGTCCTTAGGCAGATCTAATATTAACTTGGTTAAAGAGAACTAAATAAATTCAGAAATATGTTAAATATTTGTTCTTAGATGAAAATTAAAGAAAAAATATTACATACTCATTTTGATTTATTAAAATTGTTTCCAATCATACTAATATTATAAATGGAAAAGTTTGGATGGATGGATGGATGGATGGATGGATGTTTGTTAGAGTTTGTAGCCGAAACGGCTGAACCGATTTCGATGAAATTTGGTACAGATGTAGACGATAGTCTGAAAGAACAGGTAGACTACTCACGTTTAATTTTGTTAATTCCACGCGGAGTCGCGCGCTAAAGCTAGTTAATCATATTAAAGTAACACTTAATAGCAATATGTGAGACGCATACTTTGTTTTTGACATTGACCAAAAAAAAAGACTTCAATAAAAATTGTCCATCAAAGATAACCTCTTTCTATACGATAAGAATGAAATACGTAAAAGGAACTGATGCCAAGACCAGACATTTTACAACACAGAGTAGACCGTCTTATATAAGAAAAACCGCAGAAAATTATGCACCTAAAATGTTTCTTGGAGTTTAGAACCTGTATTATACTTTAATAATCTGTAAAAAATAAATCAAGCAAATTCATGTTAAGTTATTCACAAATTGACCTCGTTTAATATTGTATTTCTATTTCTAAATATTTAAGAAAGTACGTTTGTAGGTTAAAATATGTTAGATTGTATCATGATTTATTTATATGGAAATTCTATAAATGTTAGTTTAATTACACAGTTATATTTATTTTGTTTCCAACTTAATAATTTAACGTAGAATATATCAACTCTTAGGGACAATCCCACCACTGGCTCACTCAGATATGTTAAAAATGACGTCACTGTCAAATAAGGTAAGAAAATCCGATTTCCATCACATATTTACACGTTACAGTTTTTGAACAATTTACAATTTGGTGGGACAAGCCCTTATTACACTAAATTCTGATTAGACTCGAGTTCGTTGATATGACAATGCGGAGACGCAAATCAGAATAATATGTCAAATGATGTTTTAATAAAGTACATTTACGACAGAACAGGAAAAAGACATTATCATGTTATTTTACAAATTCGTAAAAAAAAAAATTAAAAAAAAAACATCGAATTCAGTACCTCCTTCTTTTGGGAAGTCGGTCAAAATTAGATTGATTCATTAACAAAGGAATACATAATAACATAAGTACAACTCTATGACGTATGCGACGGGAACTCGGTATTAAGGTATAAATCTTAAGGAGAAAAACCAACTTGTATAACAAGAAGCTTTATCAAGGAGACATTTTATGCCGAAGCGTGTTTCTATAATCGTTGTTTTATTTGTCACTCTAATCATCATATCTATACTAATATTAGGAAAGATTTGTATTTTTGGGTTTTTGTATGTATTGAAATAACTCAAAAACTACTGGACTGATGTCATAAATTCTTGCATGATTAAAAAGCTATGTTATCACTGAGTAACATAGAAAGTATTTTTAAAATTCACGAGGGTGAAGTCGCGAGCAACGGCTAGTGCCTTATATACATGAACCTCTTTACTCTTCTCTTTCCATAACTTGTACCTTATTTACCTATGTACCACTAGTTATTGTAATATGAAACAAATCACACGTCAACATACACCTTTAGGATGTTTGCTAAAAATTTATTTAAGTATCAAAATATACGTAGACGTAGAAAATTTGAATATATTTACGTATATTTGCATGAACGCATTCTTATATTGTCGTTATTTGCTCTGGAGTTTTTTGCAATTGATTTTAAATTGATCGGCTCGAATATATTTGGCTCATAATTCTAACAGCTACGCAGCGAAAGGTCCATCACAAATAAAAGACCGTTTACATTAAGCATTCGAGGTTTACATTTAAATTACACATTAGTAAAGAGTAAAAAAATCCGACATTTGAATGACCTCAAACCACGACGTCCAAATCTTAATGTTAAAAAAACGAATACAAACTAAGTTATTATTACTATCTACCCAAACATCACGTAGGCATCCTCAATGTATAACGTACGTGATGTAACATGACCGATATTGTCACAATTAATGTGCGGAAGTTAATAATAATTAATAATTAGCGTTATTAATGTCACTGCCAACTAAACACTATTACTTAATAATTTAAAAATGATGTCAAATGACATCGTATATAAGTTTTTAGTGAGCGCCTAGAACAGATTTCACGCTCCTTGGTTTCGTTTTAACATATTTTATTCTTGTTAATTTAATTAATCAGCAAAATCATTGGAATTCTAAAATTTATCTTTTTTGTAAAAAAGGTTAAGGTTTACCTTGCGAAAATCAAGCGTGTTTCAGTATCGTTCAGAAAATATCCATTTAAACACTAAAATATTCACTAAAAAATAACACAAGTGAATTTACTGAATTAAATTTCACGTAGAAATTAAATATGAAATTAACTAAGACAACACTTGATTTGTTTATAAATATTGACACGATTGCGCCGTATGCTAGCTGCGAACGGAACAGAACGTCCGTCGAATGCGGTGTTCGCGGCGTTACTGTCAGAATGTTAGGTATCGACCTACGGAATGACAATGAATGGAGGGCCAGCCAGCATTCAGATCCGCAGTCTGGCGCTGCAAGCTCTCTACTGCACTGCAGCTTTATTTCTGGCATCAGCAACTGGCATCGTAGTTACCGCAAACACATCTCTCAACACATAGAAACGACATGTCGAAAATTGTGCCAACAATTAAAGTGCGTGTCGCGAAGACGCCGACCCGGTTTCCAATTGTCGAATTGTCATCCCCTAAATTAAAGCGAAATATTTAATATAGTTAACCTTTTACAAATTGAGTTGAATCATACAAATATACTCTTTAGAAATTCATTTAGAAATGACAAACATAGACCTTTTTAAGACTACCTTCTTTCTTAAAGCTTTATTTCTTCTTCGTTCAATTGTTTGCTAATTGTAAACTGCGAATATGACGCTTTCCATTCATTCATTAAACTAATTTTGCATTGCTATACATTATAAAGATTTCATTTCAAAAAATACCCTAAAAAAAGAAAAATATAACAGAAATGCTAACATTGTCTTATAAAAATTTTGAACATTCTTTTTGTCGACTTGATAAAGGCTAAGGTTTTTCAACATTAATTTCCTCGCTACTTATAATGACTTCAAAAACGTATGGTTTATAAGTCCCCGTCCTTATCCCAATTTACTAACGAAGAATACTATTAATCAATGTAATAATCAAGGATTGTATAATAAAAAAAATATACGATGCCTAGTACATAATACATTACATTGTGTGCTCTGCGTAGTTCACAATGAGGAGGGGACGCATGCGCGAGCGGACTCAGCCGGCCTTGCTCTCACATTTGTCTCCACGGCTTTGTACAGACCTCTAGAGGTTAACAGTCCATGGCCAATCCACATAAACATACTTCTATAGTTGTATGTGAATATTTGAGGAAACTGTTACTTTGAGCACTGTAGAAGGAATTTAATTGTGTATTTTTATCAAGCAATAAAGATTTATGCTTACGGTATATTCAAGTCTGTGGGTTTCATTTCTAAGATATTAGACATTTTTTGTACATTTTTCCTTGGTTTCCCTATTTTTTTTGTGAAAATAGTAGTAGATTTTTGTTAATGTATTAATTTTTCCTTAAACCATTCCAACTAAGTGCTAGGATATGGTTCACGACAATCGTCGAATGGCGGGATTCAAACCCTCGAACGCGAGATCGGTTATCCTTACTCCAAACCATTAGGCTTTTAGCGCTTCTAGTTTTCGTTTTTGCTTTCATGAATTAAGATTACTACTGAGTAGCGACTTTCATAAACTACTGCACACACACTTTTTTCATTTTCATTTACACACAAATGTATTTGAATGATAAATAGGTTTATAGTAAACGGGTAACATTAAAATATGTTAAAAGATCGATTTAAAAAAACGTGATTGAATTAAAAGTATGTGGCGGTAAACGTGGACGACCATGACAGCTCCATTCATTGCCAAGGGCAGATTTATTTATACCGCAGTTAACTGCTGCAGTTATATGAAAACGATATGATCATTTCAATTATTGTTATACGACGTACGCGTGGATTGAAATTATTATCATTAAAAAAGTATATTTTTTTACAAAAGTAGCTTGTTCTAGGGATGAATTATGATTCCTACGTGTTTTTAAATGTTATAAAAGCGTTTATTTCAAAGGATATCTTTCCAGTTGTGTTGTTAACTTAACTTAGTAAGTTATTTACAAATTAATATTAGTTTAAATTGAAACATTTCTTCTAAATAGTTACATTATAAAACAATAATAGATATCTAAGGAGTTATTTTTGTTTGCTATTAATTTAAACGTAACGAATAAGAATGATCTTGTTTTATTTCAAAGTGTGTTAACAGTAAGTAAAGGTTTTCTAATTATTACAATACATTCATTGTGCTTGCCACAAAACCCACCTGTCGAGGCAGCGGGCACGCTCCGGCATACGTGACTAGTTCACTATACCCTCGTGCGTCATTCCGTGTCCCAACTGAATGCTCCTATTTATTACCCTATTGTTTTATTATTCAATCAATGTTAAAATTGTAATAGCGTTGTTAGAATGAAAATTATACAGTTAGAACTTTGTAACAATAATATCTTTCGCCCGCAACTACGTGCGCGTGGAATTAAGAAAAATGTAAGAACCCTATGTGTTCTTCCATACTTTGCTCAACATATATGACTATAGAGATCCGTTCAGCCGCTTTAGCGGTAAACTCTAACATTTATCCATTCGTGTGAGCATTTAAAACATTAGTAAGAATTATTACTTTCGTTGTATAATAAACGTTTTCATTCTCATGTACATCAAAGCATAGCAAATCAACTTGATTTGTGACAGAAGTATTAAGATTGGAGTTGTAAATAATGAGAGACCTTGTAATAAAAAGAATCCATTATTCTGGCTAAAGATAAAAAAATCTATTTTCCGTATTGGTCTTTAAATACTTGAAGTTCTTGTTTACGGAACGAATCGTACCGTTTGTAGAGTAATTATCACTACGGCTATTATTGTATAAGGGGTTTTGTTATATTTTGACTCTTCTAGTAAATTGCAGACTGTTGTCTATTGCTATGACGACACTGAATTGGTCATAGACTGAGCCATCGCCATTTCGGTGACAATCAGCGTCCAGCGCTAAAGGAAGTATGCCATTTATAGCGACTATTTTAAACTGTCCAACCCACAGGCGACATCTGCGTGGGCCGACAGTGAGCTCTTTTGTATATCTCCCGTTTACTTTGCTATTCTCGTGACTTTAAAACTTTAACAGACATGAAGTAATTAAATTATAAACTTCAGACATTAGCATCGGTGTACGTATTGAGTTGAATGTTTAACTTTGTGCTCAATAATGAAATTATTTTAATGTAAGCGAAATAATTAGAGAAATCATCAATTAGGAGTTTAAGTGCATGTCCCACACCTGGCTGATAGACTCAGATAGCTTGAAAATATCGTCACTGTCAGATAAGGGAACAAAATTCGATACTTCCATCACATATTTTACACGTTGGATTGTTTCTTTTACTTTTTACAATTTGATGGGGACAGGCCCTAAATTTTGCATATTTCTAATTACGTACTGTTATTTTGAAGCATAGTCGTTTAGCGTAGGAGTTGGTATCTATTCATTTCGTATGATTCATATTTGTCGTAATTACGTATTGCGAAAAGTGGGTCCTTCCTACTGTTACTTCCTGATTGCTTTATTAGACTAATATTGTAATAGGAGTCTAAATTGTGTGGGATAAATTATCGTTAGAGCGCAACTTCGTAATTATGTCTGTTCATCTAAATTGTTTGACGTGACTTTACCCTGATGTGTTCTAATTTGAATTGGACTGTAGTTATCATTACATAACTTTAATTAATAAATTAATTTTAGTCTAGTCTTAGTTTTGAAAAATGAAGCTAGTTGACCACTGTCCATCAACCCATAAAGTTCATGTTTCATTTCACGTGACAGACTAACAGTCGAATTAAGGAAAGGGGGAAAATGTTGAGGTCGTTTCGATTTTAACCCTTTTCAACAAGCTTGTAATTATCGTGAAATAGTTCATGCATATTATGTAAATTACAAAACGTTTTTTTCGAAAACCTATTTTTCGCTCACTCGGACGCACAACTGCTGCATTGTTTTAAACTCACCAGCTCGGCAAAATGCTGTAAAATGAATGTTGCAAAAAACGAGGTCACTCTCAACACTAATAACGAGAAAGTTTTACGAACTTTGCTAATTAAAAAAATGTTATTTTTGCACAGTGTGGATTAAGTAGTACAAATCTATTGTTATATTTTTATTGCAACAATTAGGCTGGGCTTCGGCTTGCCAGTAACCGCTTTATGTCATAAAATTGTTAGGTTGTTGTAGTGCCCATTAAATTTCTCCTTTCCAGGGATAACCGCTGAAGTTGTTTGCTGAAAGACTTGTGGTGTAGGATTTTTTGCAAGGAAAGTTTTTTTTCTTGCTGACAAAATTTATAAAACAAATAACACTATGTTGTTAATTATTGACTTTAAATTAGTAAATTGTAATAGACAAAAAATGCTTCGCACGATTTCACATTTTTAAATCCATAACAAAACGAACCTGAAACTGAAATTGTTTCATGATTAAAAGAAAACATCGGTTAATGAATAGCTACGTACTTACAATAAAAGCTCTGTGGTCTTTGCAATATCACACATGTAGGCTTACAAAAGTTATGAAAACAAGCAAAATACAATGGCTGTCATTGCTCCAGCTTCTCTTTAACTAAAAGCTGGAAAGTGTTCCCTCTCAGCGGAATGCATGAACAATGCGCAAGAACTGAGGGCCCTTTGTTTACCTAGGCTTTGCTAAAGAAAATGTTCACATACGGGAAAAACTGGCCACGAGCACTTTTCCATATTACACCTTTCAAGCTTTCAGACAACAGGAACAAGACGCTAAGTAATGATTCGTTTGAAATAAAACTGAATACAAAATTTAATGTTACAGTTAACACTACAAAACCATTACAACTCACACTAATAGATGTAAGCATCTTAGCTAGCCAGATTTTTACGACTTCCTAATCATGAGTTATGATAGCATTATTTATCTTTGGATATAAGTATTTTCTAGATTATTTTTTAAAATATGCTTTTATTTGTGTTTCTATAAACAAAAAAAGATTGTAGTCAAAAGATGGTAATATTTTGAAATGTCAAAGTAAAGATCTGACTGTCACCGTCAATCTAATCTAATTAAAATATCGAAAATAATAACAAAAGTATTTTCTAAAGTTCTTTTATTACGATCGGTATTTATTAGTCCAGTAATAATGTATCTTATGTTTGATTTGTCTAGCAGTTCATAAAGCTTTGAAAATGATTCAAGAAAATGTTCGTCAGGATCTACTTGCTTTCGTACCAGCTTCAATTATAGGAGAAATTAAATGTTTTGTTTTTTATGATAACCACCCAAGAGATGATAGACAAATTGATGTTTTAGTTTGTACACAGCGAAAAGAACTGATAGAATTTTACAAGAAGGAACAAATTTCATCGCTACTGTTAAATACGTCACAGAATTTTCGTGAAGTTCGCAGTTATAGGAATGGGAACTGCGAACTTTTTTATTTAGTTGCTACAGGCGACGAATTGTTTATACTATCGAGCAAAAGTAAATTAGATATTATTCGCAGATTAGCAGATATTGCTAGTTTTGAAGTGTTTGATAATGGCGGCACTGGGAGAGGTTGTTTAAAAGTGATTTGTAAAGATGATGCTGTGCCATTACTTTTTGATGATAACTTCAAACTTATTAATGAAACGAGTAATGAATTGAAAACATTACATTCAGATGATTCAGCCCCAGTTATAATGCAGCTAACAAGAAAATTAAAAGAAGTAGAATACAACATTAAATGTAATGAAAATAAATACAATGAATATTTATATCTAAGAAGAATGGCCACATTCCATTTACATCAGAAGTTTGCTCCAAATCTAAACGAATCTGTCTTTAATTTGAATACAAAAGAAGTAAGTTTATTCTCGAATGCAAAATTAAAAAAGATCAAAATGTTTTGTTCTAATTGCATCCATGTATAAGCATCTTCTTTGAATTAACTTTTGTTAACATTGCCAACACATAAATAAAAATACTTAGTTGTAGTTTGTAATAATGTTAATCCAAGAAATTAATGAAAAATTTCTATTTCAGGTAGCTTCATCACTTAACTTAAAAACATGGCCACCATGGATTAAATTGTGCAATAAAAAAATTGTAGTCTCTTTCAACTTGTTAAATAACAATGATGTGTAAGTTATTTGCTACTGTTACTTTTGATTTTAAAAATGTATAATTTTATATAGATTTTATTATATTAACAGATATTCAAGTGAGATTTTTGATTAATAATATATATCTATTTTTAGATTACTTGAGGATGTCTATGTTCTGTTGAACAGTAGTACAAAAAAATCATTAGTATATTTGACCAAACTTTTTCACCAAATACAAAATGAATGGATAGAAATTAATAATCAGCATATAAAAGCTAACTCATTAGTAACAGTTGTAACATGTATTGATTTGAAAGAATTACATAATGATGCAACGGGTGGACTAGAGTTTAGTATGGTGTTAGTTTTTAAAAAGTCTGGTGAAAATTATCTACTTCCGTTCGAAAAAGTTTCTATTTCAGCATCAGATGTAATGGGAGAAAATTTTGATGTTCTTGCAAATAATATGGGTAATCATTTTATTAAGATTTACTTAGAACAAAGACAGTTACTCAAAATAATATATAAATTAGTGAATTTAGTTCATTGAAACAAAGTCCTGTAATCTCCAACTATCTTTTTAACCAATTCCAAAAGGGAAGTGTTATATTTGTGTTTTTATACAAAAGCTTTGATAACCATAAAGTCATGAATAACCTTAAGTTAGTTATTTCTGATAGAATATTTTCTAATATTCCAGATGAACACCAAACCTTTTTATCAATACTGGCAACATCAGAAAAGATGACATTATTGCTCAGACATATAAAAGATCAAGGAGGTGCAATAACACCCGCTGATATTTTCAGCAAACATTTGAAAATGGAACAATTTAAAAGTATAAAAAATGTTTTCATACATAAATCATCACCTTATCATACACTACATGGAGTAATGGTGATGTGTGAAAATGGTGAAGACTGTGGTGATCAGTTCACCATAGAAATACATTCAAGGTAATTTTATTTAAATTCATTTATTTGATAAGGAAATTTTAATCTTCTCATTAGTCATTAATTATTTTAATATTATAAATGTGAATTTTTCGATGGATGTTTTTTTATCCATATCTCCAAAACAGCTTAACAGATCATGCTTTAGTACCTATGTAGAAGTCTGAAAGAACACTTGGGCTACACTCTGAATTATTTTATTTATGCAGAGGAAGTCGCAGGCAACGGTTATTGCAAATTTAGTTATTCTTGTTTTTATTAATTGCGTTCGCCCGCGTGGAATTAAAAAAAAACTGAGTAGCATATGTGTTCTTCCAGACTAATCTCTACACCTATGCCACATTTCATAGAGATCCCTTCAGCAGTTTAGGCTTAAATATCTAACTAACATTGATCCATCCATCTAAACTTTGGCATTAATAGTATTAGTAAGATTCATTTAGTACTTCTAAATCTAGTCACTAAAATAGGAACTTGCTATATCTACTTACCAAAATTACATTGAATTGATTATTTCCATTGAATTACTTAATTTCTGATTAAATTACAGATGTCCGTCGCAAATAGTGTCCTTAATTCATTACATCTATGAACTACCATTTCGAATTATAATTACAACGCCAAATTACAAAATTACATCCAACACAAAGGAATTAGCTCATTATAATGAGGAAATATCACTCAACAATGAACAAGGCATAAATTATTCACAATTAGGTCCAACTGCTTTGAATCAAACTTCAATGTTACTAGAATATCTCGATATGTGCATGATTAAAATGAATACAAGTGAAAATCAAGATATATTAAATAAAGTTGGCAGTGAAATTGATTTATTTGCTTGTGGTTTGGAAGAATTCAAAGAATTCAGAAAGAAGTTGGTAAATGAAATGTACAATGGTATAAATGAATGTAGAAAATCTGATATTTCACAGATAAGTCAAGATTCAGAAGAAATGATTATAGAAATAGATGATTAAGGGCCTGTCCCACCACTGGCTGATAGAGGCTCAGGTAGAGTTAGAGATTGTTATCAGACAGTTTACAATTTGGTGGGACAGGCCCTAAATGTAGCATTTATAAGTCTAATAAAGAATTATTTTGATGTGTATTCTTTTATTTCTTTCTTGTAGATATATTAGCATATTTTGGTGTACTATTACAAATAATGAATAGAACTTTTTAAAATTAAGGAATTCAGAGGATGACAGGAAACCAGAAAATAGGCTTTATAAATAAATTCCATACATTTTAAACGAAATTTTTATTGTAAATTTTCAGATTTAAAAAAAAAATAAATTATTTACATGTTTAGGAAATTAGTTTTTATAAATTAAATTATAACTGAGTTTTGACTATAATGTCATATCTTGTCTTTCCTCACATTTTCATTTACAAAACATCAAAACAAAATCAAAGTAATAGAAATACAACAAAGTAATAGAGTAGTCAAATCTTAGTTTTTACTAATATTATAAATGCTAGCTAGTTTCGATGGATGTTCGTTACATCTCCAGAACTGCTCAACAGAACTTGATGTTTTTACAGATGTTGAATATAGTTTCGAAGAACATATATGCTATAGTTTTTTAAACTTCCCGCAAATATCGTGGACAAAAGCTAGTATGTCAATAAGTGGCTTTATTTTCCATAACCAATAAGACCCATTTCATTTTTACAGTTCAGTTACAATATAAAGGTTCTATAACATATTTCTTTAGTTGAATACATTGAGTGTTAAAAAATATTTACTTAAAGTTCTTAATATAAGGAGTTGCATTGTTAATGCATTGACAAATTATTATGGTACATTTTTTTTACTCCTCTAAATATTAATAATTATAATTAAATGATAATAGAAGTAGGTTTTACTTAAATAATTATTAATAGTACTTGAGCAGCACAAATAAACTATATTTAAATGTAACTTTTTTTAAATTATTTATTAAATAATTAACATATTTCTTAGTATTTTATAGCACCTTAAAATCAGCTTGTATTGTCCTAATTTGTTCTTAATTAACAAATGAATAAATAATAATGTTTCTATTAAACTAACCCACAACCGATATGTAACCCGTTTTAGTTGAAAACAAATAATCTGACGTCACAAAGGAATTATATATTTTTATATCGTATACATAGAAAACTTTGCAAACTTATTTATGTAAAATATCTTATATGAGATTTTAAGGGCCTGTCCCACCAAATTGTAAATTATATGATGAAGTGTAAATTATGTGGTGGCAATATCGGATTTTGTTATCTTAACTGACAGTGACGTCATTTTTAGCTATCTGAGCCTCTATCAGCCAGTGGTGGGACAGGCCCTAAACCTCGTAAATGCATTGAATTATTTATTTATTAATCGGGACATAAAGATAAAAAAAAACTAAAAGTGCGCCAGACTTTGTGATTAAATATTTCCATGTTCTCGTTTGCAAAATCTATTAGAAGTAGATTATTTGTTTTTAACATATTTCTTAATAGTAATTAACGTGCTCTTAACATAACAGACAGGATTTGTTTAACAAATTCCTATCCGGAGCAGAAATCATTCGTCAGGTACTAGGAAGCAATTTATTGCCGCCTGACTCTTAATATATTTACAATTTAAAACTAAAATCTATATAAAAACAAGGTTATCACGCACTTATAAGCTCGCTGAATAGTCTAGAAACGGGATTTCTTAATTTGTAAAAAAAATGTTGTCCTCTCGCTTCCTCAATCTTTTTTTTATCTGAAAGTGTAAGTACGTGATAACCTTTATAGTATTATGCAAGAAACTGTTATATCTATGTCAATAATATTAGGTTAGCGTGGTATGGACATGTTATGCGAGGAAATGGGGACATAAACCAGAAAGTGTTAAGATTGAATGTGGATGGCTACAAAGGAAGAAGAAGACCGAAGAAAGTATGGATGGATTGTGTGAAAGAGGATATGCTTAAGAAAGGAGTGGATTCAGATATAGCTGATAGAGATGTATGGAAGAGCAGCTCATACTGTGCCGACCCTCCGTAAGGGATAAGGGCAAGTGGATGATGAGTTTATAACTAGCCAGTTCTATAATTGTAAGATAATACTTCTATTATTACTTATTATAACTTATTAATACTTCTATTATTCTACAATTATGAAACTGAATACAAGTTATAATTTGAATGACTTAACGATTTTATCTAACTTAAAAAACACATTTTAGAACATTAAATATAATCACACATGTTATTTTTAAGGATATACAATAAAATACTAAATTACATTAATGTATGTACAACATAAATAACATAGAATGGAATAAAAAATAAACTATGAAGTTTTAAAATATTACGCTAAATTATGTTACATTATGAATGTTACTAATTCTATTATTGCATTGCACTTCCGGCCATTTATTTCCTACTTAACGTATTATTAACTAAAACTTAATATAATAGAGGTATATGATAAATTATTAATAAATGTAATTATTGCACTAACTATTGCACAAGTTCTTATTGCATAAATTTAATCATATAAATATTGTAATTGCGAAAGTTACGATGGATGGATGGATGTTTGTTAACGTTTGTAGCCTAAACGGCTGCACGGATCTCCATGAAATGTGGCACAGGTTTAGAGCATAGTCTGGAAGAACACATAGGCTACTTTTTATCCCGGGAAAAGTTACGGTTCCCATGAGATTCATTAATTTAGTTTTTTAAAGTTTACTCGATCATTCTCCAACGGTTCAACATATCTTATTGCAATTTGGCACAGATATAAAACAAAGTCTGGAGTACACATGGGGTAAGGTTCATCCCCGAGAAATGTTCTTGAGGGATACGTTTTTGTTATTTACATAGTTCGTATATTTTCTAATACCACGCGGATGAAGTCGCAGGCAACAGTTAGTAATTCAATAATATAAAATTCACATTTCGCCACTATCGTTTAACATCACGTAAACTATGTCTAAATGTTCGACTGCAATTAGAATTTTCGTCACTTGATGGCAACTTTCTAAAACTACCGAAATAAACGGAATGCGTCTCCGTACTTTCCGCACCGGATTCACTTCGTGCCTCGTTTTCAGTATCGTCTGTTTCACTACCATTAACTATTTTAGCTATAACTAATTTTCTTTGAACTTGTCTAGAACATGTAGAATCACTACTTAAATAACCAGAATCATCTATATTACACTTTTTTCGTCTATATTTAGTTCTATGTCCATCTTTATCTCTAACGAATGTATTAGTGTCGACACTATTGCAACAATTTCTATTAGAATTCCTGCAAGAAACACTTGTTTTTGGTAATTTAGGGATTGTGTTAGCGGTTGACGGCATATGGTCATATTGACCACATTCTGAAGTTTGGACAGCTCTCACTGGACTGCAGGATGAACTATACTTTAAATCGTCCATTCCACACGGATTAGTTTCAGCCAATAAGTTAATTTGTTTCGGACTAAGGCTTCTGGTTTTCGAGTTTTTTGAATATGATCCTTCAGTTCTATCATTTTCTACTCTTCTAGCAGGAATGATTGGTTGTTCGTATGTGTCTTCAGTTGGAGGTAATGGAGGCAAAATATCCGGTCTAGCTAAGTTTTTTAACTGTTTTATTGTAGGTGGTGTACACTGTCTTTGTCTTTTAGAATGTCTGTATTCGAGAGTTAATATTCGACCTTCTTCTGCATTCCAGCCACTATCGTCCAATGTATCATCGGTATCTTCTAGTTTGGAACGCGTGTCTGATTTCTGCAAATTTTGTTCCCCTTCATTTCTGAGACTATTAAATTTTGCTGTATACTCAATTTGATTCGAAGTTTTTTTAAAAGTACCACTGCTTCTAAGCTGTATTCTTTGAGGTTGTTTATTATTATTGTCAATGTTTTCAACTAAATCTTTTCGACTGAACTGAATGTTAGGAATGAAATCTTTATTTTTAGGATGCTTTCGATCTAATGTGTCTGGCTCAAAACCATCTGATTCGTGAATCTTTATGTAGTTTTCTGGTGGATCTTTGACTTCTATAGTCAAGCATCCTGGCTTCTCTTCACCGTTTTCTATTTGATTGAATTTTCTACTACCCATAGAGCATTCTGATCCACTTGGCGTAGTTGGTGTACTTCCGAAATTATAGTTATTGTTCACATACACTTCGCTCACTAAACTATAATCGCTTTTCTCTTTTGTACTATTTTTAATTTCTATAGGTTTAGGAGGATTTTCTATTGGTTTTTCAATAATTTCATAATGATTTTGATCAATGCACATATCTCTTTGCGGCGACGGAGTATTACTACTACTTGAGGTTTTATATACAGCATTTCTCATTGTGAGTTCTTCTTCCATAGGTAATGCGTTGCTTAGACTGGGACTTGCTTGTGAAGAAGGAACTTCAGAGAAATCGATTGGTGTCAAAATTCTCTTTTTATTTGTCGTTCTTTCTAAACTATCAGTTTCGTAATCGTTACCATTCGGACTATCAGATTTGTTTGTGAATGTGCTTTGACCGTCAATATTCAGTGATCTGGACATGAATTTTTCTTCATCAGAGCTGGTATTTTCAGATTTGGCGCAATGTTCTAAAGCGATTGCTTCATTAACCATATCAGGAAGTGAGTTTTTGTTACTGAGGATTTTATTTCTACGTTGTGTTTTGTAACTTCTGGAACTGCCTGATCTAAAGTCGTTTAAGGCGATATCATCATCGATTGCGTTAGTTTGATTGAAGTGATCGCAGTCGATATTGTCAAAGTCAGGTAATGGTATATTGTAGTTCCTTAACGATGGTTCCGATCTAACAGATCGAGTTGAAGATCTATTAGAAGTATGGATATGATCGCTTGAATACATAGAATTGCAAGAAAAGCTTCCTTGTTTCTTAATTCTGCATCGATTTTCAATTGGTAACGATAGAAGAGATTCTGATAGATTTTGACTATCATGTGTATCGCTGTATATTTGTTGCTTCCCGTTAGGTATATTTTCTAGCCATTTGCGAATGCTGCTTTGTTTATCGCCTTTTGTGTGACAACCGGTACATTTTATGTCAGTTTTTATGTGATTTTTCGGGTCACCATCAGTAGTACATCCCGGACAGCCAACACAATTGACAGATTTCTTTCTACTATTCTCTCGTTTAAAACTCAGAATACTGCCGCTACGTTGGCTTCCTAACCCGTGATATAAATCTAAACTGTTCCCAGAATTATATGTTTCTTCCTCCGGTATTTCATTTAGCACTGGATGAAAACGCTTAGAGGCCATTTTGTGCTTTGCTATTGAAATTACTTCTCTTATTTTTGTAAGGAATTCTAAAGCAGCTGGTGGGGGTTCCTGAAAAGATGATAATTTTTTGAATATACAAAACTAGCTTTTCGCTACATCGTTGGCGTAAAATTACAAAAATAATAAAAATATGTAGCCTATGTTACTCATTAATAATGTGACTTTCTAATGGAGAATTTTTTTTCTAAATAACTCAGTAGTTTTTGAGTTATTTCAATACATACAAAAATAATAAATAATCCTCTTTATAATGATATTCCTCTTTTAATATTATATAGACATAGCTTTTTAATGGTGCAAGAACTATTGAAATCGGATCAGTATTTTTTGAGTTATTTCAATACATAAAAAAATACAAATGTTTCACTTATATAATATTAGTATAGATAGTATAGAAAACAATGTCTATACAAGAAAGAGACTTGGTTGACTTACGGCCATTAAATGTGGTTCAAAGTAAGCTGGATTAAAGTATAGTTTTCGTCGCGTGGTGCCCACTGGCCGAGTTATTTCTCTATCCTCGATAGTCTCCACTATCGACACGTGTTCGTCGGGGAGTTTCTCAATCCCTGATTCATCGCGGTGACCGACATCATCATTTTGATGTCTCACTTCACGACTTTGGAGGTGGACGACCGCTGATGTTGTTTGTTTCTAAAAATGAGTAGAAATATTAGTTTTGTTCCATCTTCATCACACCATCACCAGCTCACTATACGTCCCCACCGAGGGGCTCGGAGCCTACTCTAAGTAAGGATGACTAGGCCATAGTCAAGCTGGCCAAGTGCGAGTTGGTTGACTTCACACATATCTTTGAATTTCTTCGCCGATATGTGCAGGCATCACGATATTTTCCTTCACCGTAAGAACGTC